AAAGTGTCCGATTTCGCGGGGAATGTCCCATACATTTTGCTCTGTCGTATGGTATCCTATCTAAATAAGCACAGCAATCGCGAGCAGAATCGAATCCATGGATTCGAGTAATGAATATACATATTTTCCGTTAATTACAAACGCTGTCGTGAGTGTACACTGAAAATCAGCCTAATTCATTTGGATGCAACGAGAGCAGTGGCGCACAGGTAAGGAGTCGTGCCGTGCGAGAGGCTCCGTCCTATTGTAAGGATACGAACAACGGTTTCACGCGGAGCATGAAATATCTACGTTCAAGCAACCAGCGAGGAATACCCGCGTAATGTACGTCTGCGCCGGGGCGGGGTTTTATTTGAGGCTGGCTCGAGATTCAATTGGGGGAAAACGGGGAAAGCTCTCTGGGAAACAGTGTATTCGGCCGGGCGCGCAGAAGGGGAAAAGGCTTTCGAAACGCTTTGGGCACTTTCGTGCATTGCGAAAGATTCAAACGGAGGCCGGAGAAGAATGATTTGGGTCGTGACCCAGATTTGTCATTCTGTCTCTCGTTCTTTCTCGCCCCGTTTCCTTCGTTTTTGCACCGTCTTCATCCACGTCCGCTAACCGTTGCTACATCATCGAACGCCGTAATTGGCCCCGGTTGATCGGCTGCCTTTCGCAGAGATCGCTGACAAGCGATCCAGCAGCACTGCGGATTCTCGAACGCAGAACTATCGATCGTAACATTCGAACGGACGTTATATGGAATCGACGCAATGAATCTTCGGACTAAATAGAGCAAAAGATCTAGTTATACTAGATATTAATGCAACAATATATGTGATCGATGGACTGTTGACCAGAGATCGATCTAACTTACTCCGATACCTGTTGAAAAAAAATAGCATACCATGTACAGCTCAAACTCTCTTTTAGTATCTAACATTTATCCAGGAGAAAATCTTCGCACTAATTCGAAATGTTTGTTAAACGAATGCACTAAAACCTACTAAAATGCTTTCCAACGTTTGATCGTTAAAACGCGTGCGAACGTGTACGATCATTGTATTCTACTAATCGGATGATCTGGCAAGTTGCGACACGAACATTCTCACACCAGTTAATTGCTAAGTTAGATCGTGATAAAGCGTACGTAACGAAGAAAGTTTTGAAAATACAATTTCAAGTCTCCGAGGGTGTCTCCTTCGAACGGAATGACTCACATTTAAACGGCTCGCTAACAGGGATAAGAGAGTCTTGTTCTCGCTTTCGACGGTAATCCTCACGTGAAATTTGCGCTTTGGAGAAGCGCCAGTTCTATCCGTGCGTGTCCTCGGTTCGCCGTCACCTCCTCAAAATCGACAACCAAACCCAGGAACGTCTTCCCACGGGATCGAAGACGAGGTGGATGATGGGCGGTTCCAAGTGATTAATGTCGTGCAGTCTCTGTCGGATCCCGTGTTTACCGGCACGATGTCGGCAACTTGTTGGACATCGCCGCGAGTCGTGACTAGACACGTATACGAAAGTTACTCAACGCGTGTTCGGTAAGTCGGCAAGGTTTCGCGGGATCGAATATACATGTATACCTCTCAGCCTGTCATGGCTCTCGAAACCGGCTGAAAAAGTCGTACACGCGCGCGCAACCAGCAATTTCCAGATCCTCGACGCGATTGTCGCACGGAAACGAAACGGAATTCTGCGGGATCATAATCACCGTATGTGACTTGAAACTTTGAATAATGCAAGGACACCTGCATACAACGACAGAAAGATGGCTCCAGTTACTTCTGATTCGTTAGGTTATTCTTTTGATTAAACGGCAGATTGTATAGGATAGACTTCCAATATTTATTTGAACTAAATTATTTTATTGACTAAATTATTTGAAGATTGTATACCACTGTTTGCAAGATGTTGTTTTCATAAATGAAGTGATTAATAGGTACTTATTCTTTCTTTATACTTATTTAAACTTGAGAATTTTCAAAAATTGGAAACGCAATTAATTTCATTTAATTCTCTAGTAAAGTTAAAAATGTCTGTGACAATTAGTTCGAAATTCAAAGATCTAAATATTCTTGTTTCATAAAGTAACAAAATTGGTTGAAATTTTGATATTATACAGTGTATATGGTTAGCGTAGCGTGTCCAACAATCTAATTTATTTTTGCACAATAATTATTTTCAGTTTTCCAGTAACAATTGAGGTGAAATGCTTTGTTGCGGGAAATGTCAAGAGAGCATAACGTTGGCTAATCTGCATACAGTGTATTATGGATAACGCGGAGAAATTGAACAGTGGATGGTCAAAATATAGAGGAGGAGATGGAACATCGCTATTAATTTCATTTCGGCTTTTTGGAAACAGACTTTCGAAGATATTACACGAGGAGTCAACGCTATATATCTTCTGGAGAGTTTCCAGAGGCAGCCAGGAGCCACAGCAAAGTAATGATCTCTTTTTTTGGCAACATTCCAATGTTTCCCGATTCGATAGTCCTTACATTTCTCAGAACCTGCGGTATTTCATATACGAACGATCTTCGCGTTGTATTGTTCCATGATACATCTATAAACCCGTATTATTGTAGTGACCCTCTCTTCGTGTATTATCATTTTTCAGCTGAAACGTTGACTATTACGTTAACATTCACACATAAATCCCTCTGTTGTACAAAACAGAAATAGTAGAAACTTTAATTTGTCAATCTTATTAAATTCTCAGTATCGTAACTTAATTTGTTTTATGTAATCCTTTATCTTCGGGGTCACATTTTTAGCTCTGTGCGGGAAGTCGACTCACTGATACGCAGGTAATGTAGTACCTAGTATATTAAAATGTAAATATATATCGGTACATTTTTATCAGAAAGAACGTACAACTTCCTTCCACCAGTCTACATGTTAATTAATTAGTGCACTTCAGCACATTCTGTGGCGAATATGTAACAACGTCTCCTTGCTATAAACGCGTCCACGTAAAAGTGTGCTGCTTCACGGGCAGTTAAGTTGTGTTTTATTTACACATTAATAAGCATGTGTGTACACTTTTCCAGCCGGCAATATGCGGGCAAGTATTCGCTCAGCTTTTGTCGTGTCCACGAGTCACTTTTCTTGTGTCCACGGGTTACTTTTCTTCTCCTCTTTGCTGTTACGTATTATATCTCATAATACAGCCGGTGTAATACCTATCTCCGCCTTGTATCGTTTATCGTATCATTCCTGAGCAAACGAGAAAGACACGAGCGTATAACCAGTGTGCCATTAGTATTCGTGGCTAAACCTACTTACTGATTCTCACGACACAACAGTTTCCTCGGTAAGCGTCAAACAACAGAGTAGCTTTTCACGGTAATCTCTCGATCGACGACGATACCACGCCAATTATCGACTATAGCTTACCAAGTGCTCGAAATCCAAGTCCAACAGAACTCGTTACATAAACTAAATTGAGTAATCGATTATTCAAGTAAACCGAAAAAAGTATATAACAGGGTCACTATGAATACTCGAATATTCTGATAGCTCCGTACACAAAGAAGTGCTTTTATGCTACGCGATTACAGTGTATATGTCTGTAAAGAACAATCGAACCATCTATTCTAGTGACGTTGCTATTTTATACCAGCTATACTTTTGTGACCAAAATTCTTCGAAAATATATATTCATAATAATAACGCTCAAGTACTAGAATACCTGCAAATAGGAACTATATTTGAAAACAAAAACAAAGGAATTGAAAACGAACGATCATTAATGACATAACCTATAAAGTGCATCTACCGACGCGGACATAAACAACCAAAGGACAAGTGACGAGTCACTAATCCATCGATATACGTACAATATTTCTACTTACAGAAAGGCTGGAAAGAACAGCGATCAAAGAAAAGATTTCCCGCGTTCGGCAACGGCGATGGAATCGTACCAGCAATCAAAGCCCCCGCTCGCTCTGCAATTAATTACCCAACGTTGCACGATCGACAATGTCTAGGGAATCGAAAGCAACACCTAATTACCGTATCCCGTTTAGGATCTGCGGGCACCGGATACTTTCGCCAGTTTCTTGAATCCGTCTCCTGTGTACGACTCGTCGTTGATCGGTATTCTCGCGCGTCGGCATTATCGTAGCGCACGCGGTCGCTCACGAATTCGGAGTAACGAGTAAATTCCGATAAGTTACCGGTGTGTCGGAAACTTTGGAGGTACGCGGCGAGAAGAGGGTTACTAGGAGGAAGGGGGGCAAGGCGGGGGGAACGGCAGGGGAGTTGGGGGGAAGCAGTGAGGCACGACGGCTTGTATCAGAGGGGAAAGAGCGGGAACGCGAGACTGAGCGGGAGGACTATAGCGAGGAGAGCGCGGTAAGGAAGGTGGGTCGTGTGTTCGTGAGAGGGAAGAGCAAGAGGCAAGAGGGTGGCGGCTGTGAAGCATTGGCGAGGGCGTGCGGGACGGCGAGAGCGGGTAGAGAGGAGGGAAGGAGCGCGCTATCGGCGAGCGCCTCGGTTCGGCCGAGTCGGCCGACGTCGGCCTCGATCAGCCGCTCGGCGCTCAGTTCGAGTCGGACCTCCGTCGTAGTCGGATTGTGTCGTTTTGCCGCGCCTGTCTCTCTCTCTTTCTCTCTTTCTCCTTCTCTCTTTCTCTCATTCCCTCCCGCGGGCACGCGCGCGCGCGCCACTTGTGCTGTGTGGTGTGTACGTATACATATATATATATAATATGTGTGTTCCCTGTTCTCCCTCTGTGCCCCCATATTCCCCCGCGACGACAACGAGTTCCGCCCAGTGAAAAAGAGCGAGCTTTCCTGCAAACAAGACGCGTCCTCCTCGACTACCACCCCGGCTGTTGTTTGTTTTCTGGTGTGTTCACGGTGTCGCGGTGACACAAAACACAGCGAAGCCGAACGAGGAAGGGTCCCGCGCGCGTCGCGAGGTGAGGAGGAGAGGACAACGGGGAGAGCCGCGTGTATACACCGTCGTCGTGCCGTTCTCGTGTTTGTGTGTGGCTCTTCGTTCGGTCGTGTGGTCATCACCGGCGGGTCCGTAGTCATCGTCCGTTTGTTGCTTGATGCGAAGAGTTTCAGTCAACGGAAGAAGAAGTAGGTTAGCACACCGGTGTGTCTTTCCCGTCCGCGGTGAAACACTAACCCCGCCGTTTCCCCCGACGACGACGACGACCGCTTCTCTTCTGCCTTTTACCGGGGAGCTCGCGAGTGTATACCATCTCGATGTGGTGTGACGTTCAACCAACGCGTACTTCTTTTACGTAACGAAAGCGCGTTAGAACGCGCGCGTGCGCTCTATATGGGAGTCCGTTTGGTTTCTGCCCCCATCTCGTTTCTCTGTCGCGAGCGAGAATCTTCGATCATCGGTAGTACATATCACTGTTTCGTGCGTGCTCGTGTGTTATTGGAACGGTCGATCGGTCGTTTTTGTCTCGTTTAATCAGTGGCCCTTGAAAGGATTTCGTGTCGCGTTAATTAATTTTTTTTCTCCTGTCCCGCGATAGCCAGCCTGAATCCGAGTGCCATTCGATTTTCCCGCTTTTCCCCCCGGTTCGTTACCATATCCGATAATCGATACCGTTCGATTTCTTTCGATTCTCGAACGCGACGTTGACGGGACGAAGGCGCGCGTCGGTAGTCCCGCGAACGCGCCAGTTCCTCCCGAGTGTCTGTCGAGTACGGTCGTGAGTAACGTTCGTGCTTTTTCAGTAGAAGAGTTTTCATCGCCCGGATACAATAGCCAGGCGTCTATGCGCACATGCACAGAGACGTTGGAATCCCCGGTGCTGTACGATCAACGACTCGTCTGTGTCGAGTACTCTCTTCGTCGATGCGGCATCGTATTGTTTGTGGTGCTTCTTCGTGAAAAGGTGTGTTTCGTTTAAACCTGCAAGATGGTGCGACTGTTCTTCTCTCTGTGTGTGATTTGAATCAGTGATTCGAGAGGAATAGCCGATATTGCTCGGCGATAAAAAGAAAAAGAAAAAAGAAAGTGAGAGTTTTTATTATCAGTGCAGTACTACGTTTGTTCACTGTGGATTATTGGATATACTATACGCTCGGCCCAGCAAGCCGCCTGACGGAGCGCAACATCGCCGCACACGGTTTATGTAAGTAACAAAATACAATCTTAAACGTTACTTTCGCGATTACGATCGATACGAGTACACGGTCTGTCGACGTCGCGAGTGATATCCGGTCTTCGGTCGCGGCTATCGTTTCGCTGGTTTTCCGGAAAACTCGTGATCGTGTTTACTCTTTCAGCTATCCGTTTTTTTCTTTTTCGGTGCACCGTTTTGTTTTTTTTTGTCTTCGTCAAATCTCACGATTTGTCGACCGGCGAGGATTACGAGCGTAGCAACGAATATGAAAAGAACGTTCAAGCAATTGCGTCATCGACGAAGTCGTACGTCGCGAACAGGTTCGTATTTCATGGGCAATATTCGTTACCAACCTCCGGGACATTGTCACATCTAAACTTACGATCGAAATGATTTCAACGCGAAATTTTCGTTACATTGTATCGTTCGTGTCGTGTAACGCGTAAAAACCGTTTTTGACCGTTAACGGAATATCGATGCTCTGGGAATAATGATTAGGTTAGGAGTCAGTTTCGGGCTGTAGAGAAATTGAATTGGCTTCGTTACTGCTCTCTGCAGCAATCATGACATTCGAATATTCCGCAACCACTATAAATACTCTTCTGACGACTATAGTCGCGATCCTAGTGCTATTTTATTTGTAAACAAATTTTTTTGCAATTTCCGGACAAAATATTCTGTTTTGACGTGGTTCTTTCATTTTTCTTGTAATTTATCTCGTTGAGGTTAGATTCGATAACTGTATTCGAATTGGTACGTGTATTAGGTTGCTGCATCTGAAACGTCATCGTGATTGACGGTGTGTAATGGCTAGGGATTTTTAGTGTTTGCTTACACTTAATTAAAGTATTGTTTGTATGAACTTTTATATCTTCTTGTAACAATTATTTGCATCCAAAGGGCTTTCGTTTTAAATTAAAAAAAAAAAACGGAAATGTATTTGAAAAGGTTATTAGAATCCAGGAGGCATGGTACAATTTCAAAATCTATTAAATATTTTATATCGTTATCCAAGATAGATGACAGTGTACGTTATCTTACAAAATCAGCTTTTAATTCATTCATTTTAAATGCACCGTGCTGTGAAACAGACCTTTCTTTTTCGTACGAAATAAAACATTTACAGATGTATGTTCTGCAATTTGTTTCCAACTAGATTGATAAGAATGCGTAGAATATCGATTGAATAAAAAAGTTCAGGAAAATCTTTATTGTACTGTATACCTACTAAAAACTTTAACGCGTGCAATATATCACCATTTTTATTCTCTTTTTATTTCACGTCGCGAATCAATCGGAACTAATGGAAAATTCAAAACGATATAAAGAATAACGATAACGATGGTAATAGTTACGATTTAGTTGCCAGACATTACCAAGCAGTTTCGCTTGGTCAGTAGAAATTCTTGGCAGAGTTTCTACTCGTTACGTCTGACACTGAAGGAGCGATTTTAATCATCCCGCCGCGTAATACGAGTTTGAGGAACGTCGATCCCCGTTCGACGATCTATTTAAAATTCTTCGCACGGAAATGTTATCTTATCGGGACGGTGAGAAATGAATGTTCCGAGAGAGCGGAACTCGCTTCGAAAAGTCGTCGCCGCGTTTCGATCCCCCATTTATTCCTTTCATTGTTTACGTTCTGTATCACTCCTTTGTCAGAGGAATTATTACGGACAAGTGCAATGTCATCGATGTCGAAATCACAGCGCATTTGTTGTGTTGCCCCGTATTAAATCTCGTGATTTCGAAGTTCTCGAAACACGTATCAAGTGTGAGAAGTACAGTTGAAATTAAATTATTTAATTTAAATGAAATCTGAAATTACGGAATAATTGTGTTCTTTTCCAAATACATTGAAAAATAAATGATCCGCGTGTTTGCACAGAAAAATTGTTCGAATCATCAACAGTCGAGCAACTCGTAATATTCGTTGATATGCGAAGGACTGTCACGAAGAAACAGTGAGGGGAATAGATGAAAAATACAAGTTCGATGAATAGAGTCGAGTTCGTGTGGGATGTTTGAAAGGCTTGCGTGGAAATTAAATTAAAAGATCCCCATGATACGGGACGAAATTCCGGAAAGAGTAATTAAATATGAAAGGAACTTTTAATATGTAACTACTTCGCCTGCAGAAAATCTCGCGAGCTCATAGTGTCCCCTCCCATTCCCGTTTGTCCTCGATCGCTCGGGCCCTCCTTTTTAATTGTATTTTAATGATGGTCGCGCGTGTGCTCGGTTTAATTGACATGCATTGACTTTCGGGTTTATCGAACCGACAATTGTAAAAATCTGCGGAGCAGACGAGTTCCAACTGAGAAGAAAATATTCTTTTTGTTCACGATGATCACCGATAATTTATGGGTGTTTATGGAATATTTATTCATTTATTGAACGTTTTCTTCATTCGAGTCCTTTTTTTTCAACGTGGTATAAGTCCAACTTTGAAACAAATTAGTTAAGGCAAGTTTTAGTTAGACATGGATGTTTTCTTTTCATATTTATAAAAACGATACTAATATTTTGTTTAGTTTGATAATTATTAATAAACTAGATTTCAACTTATTAATCGAAGAAGCGAATTAGCTCGTCCTTTGTGTCGGAGTGTATCTTCCAATAGCGTTTCCTGTAGGCTCCAGCAGTATTCTTCAAATCCTTTTCGATTTTGAAATTAAACATCAACTACAGATATTCGTAACCGAATTTTCGAGCAAAACCTTCTTGGTAGTTTTACTTCGAGTCAAATTGATCGTATTACAAGAACATTGCTGTTCACAAAGTTATCGCGATAACAGGTTGATAGAGTCTTCTGTGTATTCGAATTGAGTTTCTAGTACATACTTGAACTCGTTTGACGATGCACGTTAGAGTCCTTCCAGCGAGACCAATGAATATTTCCTTGCAATTTTACGGTCAACTAAAATGCAGTGGCGAGTTTCTTTATGGTCAGTGGTCGCGTTTTAATGCGATATCGTCGATGCGTCGTTCAACCCTCTGAGAGTGGCTGCACTTTGCACCGGCGGCGGAAGCTGGAACTTTGAATAATTATTCGCAAAGCGTAACCGTTTGCAAGCAAATTAATTGTGGGACGTGTCCTGGTAACCTCGTTACTTGTTCCACCGTATTCTCTTTCTCTGTTTCTGCTTCTTCCTCTCTGGCACGCCTCGAGGATCCAAGCGTGTTGTGTACACGGATCGAGCGGGCGCGCGCGCAACCAGTCATAAAACGGCACCCTGTTACACGGTCCCCAGTGAAATTATCGAATTATTAACTACACCGTTTCTTCGTGGCCGGAGTCGTGCTTTCGACACTTATTACTTTACAGCGAATCGAATGGCCTAATTCGGCCTTTGATGCTTCGTTGCGGCGGAGAATGACGCGTGCAATTTGTTACCCTTCCCGAAATACATCGGGTCGTTTTGTGTTACCGTCTCTTTCTCGTATCGTTTTTTTATTCTCTCTCCCTTCAACGTTTCCTCGACGGATGATGTACTGTGTGTCATTGGGTCGATGTAAACGTGTCGATACGCTTTCGGTGTACACTTTCGATTCTGTTGCGGTGAAATATTGCGAGTGGGAATATGGATACACTACTTGAAATGGGGTTGAAAGACCGGAGAAGTGTCGTCCGAAAATAATGGAGACTGCATCGTTCCGTTTTCCGTTCATTTATAAAGAATTGTATGACGAATTGTACTTGCTATGCAACGAATGCGTTTATCCATTTGCACTTGGTGTAGGACTAACTTGCTCGTGGGATTTAAGCATGAATTAACATTCGATCAGAGGGAAAATTCTCAGCAGCTTTTTCCAGTAATGTTCAAACATCTGTATTATCGTGGAGAATAATTGTCATTTCCAATCGTATTAACTTTTTGCACTCGGACTTTCTAATTTTTCATACATTTTGTCGCTTCAGAGGCGACAATCGAGTGCAAAGGGTTAATATGAATCTAAATACAGTTCAATATTAATTGAAACAGGGTCGCTAAAGCAGTAGAACTTTCCCTCAGACCTAGTAAAGTAATTGAAACTTCTCTGATATGTCCAAGAACATGTGTTACAATATCCGACATTGAGCATCGTTCTACTATATTACTTTTTTCTTCGAAAGAAGTGTGCGCACGAGACGTAGTAATAGTAAAGCGATTGATTTATCGCTTTCGATTGAAGAAACGACCCCATTAATGAAAAGACCAGGGGAAAGTGTTGTGGCCACGGTCACGCGTAGTTGTGTAATTAAGAATGCAATTAAAGATAGGTTTCACTCGTGGCCGTCGATTGTGTGAGTTATTGCAACGATGCGAGCCGTTTTCTTATCGTTCCCATGCGCCAGTGACGTTAACCTTGTATTTTTATCGAGGTACATACATACTCCGATCAACGTTTCCACGAGGAAGACAGTACGATTGTGTGCTCGTACCGTGTTTTTCATTCGATGTTTTTCTGTTGCGAACGATTAACGTTACAACACACTCTGCAAAACATTTACACCAGTATTTTTCGTTGCCCTAAAAACCTTTCTTTGTCTATTCTGATATTGCTGTTCGATGATAAAATGTAACTTGTTCGAAACACACGCCAGACAATAGTGTTAGTCGTCGGAGCAGCACAATGTTACCCATTTTGTGGGGAATTATATTACACGTTGTTGCAGAGGCGGATTCCGAGAAACTTATTTTGTTAGGGGGTAATTTATCGATTCATTTTCACGTGCCTGGCAATCTACTGCAATTTACGGGATCGGGCCTGTAATTTGACGCGTTGCTAACGCTCTCGAAGATATTTGGCGGGAAAATACTCTCGGACGCATCAAATTCTGGGAACAGGATTTTTCGAGTCGGGTAGAAGTTCGACTGAGATGTTGGGGAACAAGGTTTCTAGGAATGCAGGCGTCGGACCGGCTGAGTGGCCGTTCGAGCGTGTATACAGTTGTGTGCGAGTGAGGGGTTGAGAGTCCTTAAGGATGGCCAGTGTGCACGGTGAGAAATGTGCAGTCCGCTGAG